GATTGGTCATTGCTCTCCTCCCAAGAAGTAAACATCTTCCGATTTCCTGGCTGCAAGCAGCGTCTGAAGTAATCTTTGCACCTAGAAATATAAAGTCTGTCACTGCCTCCACGTTTTCTCCCTCTATTTGCCAATTATTAATCAATCTTCTTGCCATAATCCTGGTTTTGTTTGATGTTTTTTGATGTTCAAAATTGAGGTGTGCATTACAATCGATAGTGCAGTAGATTCAAGTAAATACAGGTATATCCCAGTGTGATAAGGTAATCTGAGTGAGTCACAAAAGTGGCAGGACAGGATTTTGCTCATTAGTTAAACAAATTCAAAGACATTGGCAAGCTTTCTTCTCATAAAACAACCGGACTGCACATTTTTCTGCCTAAAGGGTACAGAAATTTGTGAGGTTTTTAAAAATGAAAACTTGGAATCTGGCCTAGATGATGGTACAAACAGGAACAAATACCTGAAAACTGAATGAAACCATGTCAACCAAGAAACGTGTGCTTTTCAAATGAAAACTGGGAACCTAAGCCAAATGATGTTCCCAACAAGCATGAAATAGAATATCAAGAAACTGGATTAAGCGCAGCCAGCCAAGTAGCATGGCAACGCCATACTAATTCAAGAGCATGGTAGTGGCACCTTTTGCTGTTTTAGTTTTCAACTCAAAGACTTCTATTCATTTAGAGGTAAACAGGCAGTAATATTTATAGAATGATGTTGAAGTACTTCTCATAAGCTGTAGGTACATTATTTTAATAATTTACATTACATATAGCCTAATCAGTTATTAAAATGAGGCATACCCTTCAGGCAGTTGGTTTTGCATTTCATAAATGACCAGCCAGTTGTTAAATATTAAATGCCTTAATGGTGTGTTTTTAGTCAGGAAGAGGTGGAAGAAGCTGTTATCTTTTCTGCCTCAGATCCCAAAGTAATTTGACCAGCTTAGCATTGAATATTAAAGCACTAAAGCTGTAGCAAATCAGGAGAAAAGCAGAAAAGCCAGATAGGCCTTGATTATCCGATTGTTTTTTCTAGATCTATTTATGGACAGTAAAACTAAGGTTTTATTTTCTTCCTCTTCTATTAACCACTTACTTCTTTCCCAACTAGAGAAAGATAGACAGTACATGACATCTCTCTATTGGTTTGAACACAGGAGAGCCAATTTTGCTCATGGAAGTTAGGGTCTATAACAAAGTTTAAGAGCCTTGCCCTATTCCCTAAAACAATAAGCATAAGCTACCTTTTTAACCTTAGTCTAAGCACCTAGAGCAGGGGTCCTCAAACTAAGGCCCAGGGGTCGAATACGGCCCTCCAAGGTCAAACTAAGTCTGCAACTTAAGTTTAACTGGCCCTCGCTCAGGGTCAACCTAAGTCTGAAACAACTTGAAAGCACGCAACAACAACAACAACAACAACAACAACAACAACAACAACAACAACGAATAAGTTTATATTTGTTAAAATTGTTCTTCGTTTTAATTATTGTATTGTTTTTAAGTGTTTTTTCCACTACAAATAAGATATGTGCAGTGTGCATAGGAATTCATTCATGTTTTTTCAAATTATAATCCGGCCCTCCAACAGTTTGAGGGACTGTGACCTGGCCCTCTGTTTAAAAAGTTTGAGGACCCCTGACCAAGAATATGTACTTTGTTGCATAGTCATGAGTTCACAGACTGGTATACATTCCAAATATTCTTATATCTGGGGCATTTTCTACTTTAACTTGTATAGGAGCCAACTGCAATTTTTTCAGGCAGCCAAATATCAACTAGCCCTGGGGAACTTACAAGAGAAACTGAATATATATCTTAGCTAATGAAGGATTGTGTTTGTGTTAGCAGGAACTTCTAAATCAGGGGTTCTTAACCAGGGGTCCATGGAAACAATTCAGGTGGTCCATAAGCTTGAATTGAAAAAATAAACTATTATCATTATTTCCGAGGCAATGCAGATGTCAGCTGTACAAGTACAACAACAATCAAAACACACCATATGTTGGATAAAATAAAACCACAACTTTATTGGTTGCAGTTTATCTGAGTTGGCACATTCTGTGGTTCATAAATCCTCTTTTTATGTGGCATACCTGCCACAATGTAAACCTCGCTCCCTGAGACAGCTCCTGGGCTGTCCCAGTAGCAGCCCATTTCACCATATCAGAATTTCTGGTGAGGTGTGTGTCTTGCCACTGCTTGGGCAAGCACTGACCCACACTGTTATCAAGGAGCCAGGGTTTCCCTTGTGGAAACCCCTCTAATGGCTTGTGCTTCCCTAACATTTGGATACAGGACCCATGCCAACTGCCCAAACCTCAGTTGAGACAAATGTGGTAGAGTAGAATGGGCTGGAGATCCAGTTGTGTCTAGCAGTCTCCACCTCTAGAGCCAGCTATTTATGTCCTCTGTGACTAGCCAGGTTCAGCCAATGAGGAGCTAGTAAATACCTGGCTCCCATTGGCTGTTACAAGCACAGAGCCCCACACAAAAGGGTGGCTTTTACTTGCAAAGACTTGCTGAGAGCCACCATGTGCTCCCCAGCAGCCTCCTTCCATCTTCCAGGGAACAATGGCGATCCAACCACCACTTTTTCTCTGACCTCTATTTGAAATCTATCATTTCCCTCTTATTATGGATGTATGCAATAAATCACAATAGTATTCATTTCATAACTCAGTACAGCTGTTGCATATCTTTTAAAAATCACTTATGCTCATCCATACTTTGATATTACAGTAGTTGTTTGACCCAACACTAGATCACATGTGATTACAATCCTGCTCTGTACAAACTATTATGTGACATAATGTTTTTGTCATAACACTTATCTGCCATTACATTCTGGAAAAACGGTCTGTGGAACAAAAAAGGTTAAGAACCCGTTATAAATGAATGAGATCAAATTGAAAACTTGATGTGTGAGAGAATGGAATTTCACTTAGGCACAGAGATAGAACCGCAGACACTTAACAAATTTACTAATTCTTATTTTATTCAACTGTAGAAGTTAACAGAGAATATTCTAAGCTTCACAACATCACCTCTCATTTGTACTTATGGTGATTAATTAGTAACTTGGATGACCTCTGCAAGCAGATGTAGGAAATATCCTTAAGGACAGTGGTTCCCAGCAATTTTTTGGGCATTCCCCATCTAAGCATCTCTAAAAATCCTGATTCCCCTCTCTCTTCCCATGACACATAATAATAATACCTTTATTTTTATACCTGTCTCCATCTCGCCGAAGAGACTCGGGGCGGCTCACATGGGGCCAAGCCCAAGCAACAGAGTTAAAAACATAGTACATTAGAATGAATAACATCAATTTAAAATAACATAAACCAACAAATATAACAAAATATAAAACAAGCATCAAAACCAACAACAATCGCATAATTGAAGTCTCGATGTGGGTGGGCGGACTGGTGCACAACAATTTAGAGGATAGGGCTAATAAGTAAAGTGCATAAGTCATATCGCGACATTAAGGACAACAGCAATATAAGAAAGAACATTCTAACTTTGAATATAACAGTAGTAAAGTGCTCAGCCAAGATTTTTGGGTCTAAGCTGGGGACAGTTGTCAAGGGAATTGTTTAGTCAAACACACAGCGGAACATCCATATAATCCTTTTTATTCAAAAAGTGAACTCCTGTTGATGTGAGGGAAGCCTAAAGGGCCATTAACTTGGTCTAAACAAGCTTCCAAAGAACACGGCAGCCATGAAAAAGGAAAGTAAAAGAACCAAAGGACAGTTGAAGTACTGAGGAAGAAATTGCTAAGAAATTGTTTAAAATAATAATAAAATGTAGTGAATGAAAAAATAGCCAATAAAGCTTCAAAACATATCATAGAGAACTGAAATGCATAAATATAAAATAATTTTAATGGAAGCTTTTTGTACATTTTGCATAACTTGTGATGTAAAAAAAACACTTGAGAGAAATGGGGATGCTTGGAATGAAAGTGCCCCCCACCCTTTCTGTGCTCCTGCCCTCCCTCCTTAACTCTATGTTCTCCCCAAACCTTCCTTTCTATGAGCGGGCTTTCTCCCTCTCCCTTGTCACCAGCTGACTGCCATGCACATTCTGATTTTAATTTTTAAAATGTGTGTCACATTATATATTTATATATTATTGTTTATTTGTTGTTCATTTATTCAGTCATTTCTGACTCTTCGTGACCTCATGAACCAGCCCACGCCAGTGCTCCCTGTCAGCCACCACCACCCCCAGCTCCTTCAAGGTCAATCCAGTCACTTCTAGGATCCCATCCATCCATCTTGCCCTTGGTCGGCCCCTCTTCCTTTTTCCTTACATTTTCCCTAGCATCATTGTCTTCTCTAAGCTTTTCTGTCTTCTCATGATGTGGCCAAAGTACTTCATCTTTGCCTCTACTGTCCTTCCCTCCAATGAGTAGTTGGGCTTTATTTCCTGAAGTATGGACTAGTTGGATCTTCTGGCGGTCCAAGGCACTCTCAGAACTTTCCTCCACCACCACAGTTCAAAAGCATCTATCTTCCTTCGCTCAGCCTTCCCTAAGGTCCAGCTCTCACATCCGTAGGTGACTATGGGGAATATCATTTCTTTAAATATGCGGAGCTTGGTTGCCAGGGTGATGTCTCTACTCTTCACTATTTTATCAAGATTGGACATTGCTCTCCTCCCAAGAAGTAAGCGTCTCCTGATTTCCTGGCTGCAGGTAGCGTCTGCAATAATCTTTGCACCTAGAAATACAAAGTCTGTCACTGCCTCCATGTTTTCTCCATCTATTTCCCAGTTATCAATCATTTTTGTTGTCATAATCTTGGGGTTTTTTTATGTTTAGCTGCAACCCAGCTTTTGCACTTTCTTCTTTCACCTTGATTAGAAAGCTCCTCAGCTCCTCCTCACTTTCAGCCATCAAAGTGCTGTCGTGTGCATGTCTAATGTTTCTTCCAGCAATTTTCACCGCAGCCTTGCATTCGTCAAGCCCCGCACATCGCATGTGTTCTGCATACAAGTTGAATAGGTTGGGTGAGAGTATACAACCCTGCCATACGCCTTTCCCAATCTTGAACCAGTCTGTTGTTCCATAGTCAGTTCTTACTACTGCTACTTGTTCCTTATACAGATTCCTCAGCAGAGAAATAAGGTGATTTGGTATGCTCATACCACCAAGAACTTGCCCCAATTTATTATGATCCACACAGTCAAAGGCTTTATAACAGTCAATAAAACAGAAATGGATGTTGTTTATTTATACCCCACTTTTTCTCTCCACAAGGAGACTCAAAGCGGCTTTATATACATATAAACTGTATATGAGACTCCTAAAACCATAGGAAATGCAGAACATTCACTATTAATAACTCATTCTCGAATTGCCCCCATAAAAATCAAATTGCCCCCCCCCCTTGTGGGGCAGGTGCCCCAAGCTGAGAACCAGAGGCTTAAGGTTTTCTACTTTTAATACTGAAAGTAATACAGCTGGAACATAGTTATTCCTTCTAAAACCTCTGAAGGTCAAACTATACAAAACATTTAGCATATTTAAAAGAGGGGCTACCTCATGTGGCAAAATATATGTATTTGGCATAGTATGTATTCTCCTTCATTGCATTTAATATGCCTTGCTTTGTGTCTGCTCATTGGAAAACAGACTATTTGCAAGTCTGGTTACAGAGGCATTGATTTAACATCTCTAAAATGAAATTGTGTCAATTTAATTTAATACAAATTCCCTTTCATGTCTAATTTGACTCTGAGAAGCACCCCTTCTGATGTGATCTAATTGCCCTCACTATCTCAATGAAAAGCCAATTTAACATAAAGAAACCAAATTAGGCTTTTTGTATGAAAACCACCAAGGCCTCCTTGACCTTGGCTATTTGTTTTTCTGCTATTCTGCATTGTAGACCACGCCTTCCTTAGTATGCACTTATCTCCTCGTTGAGGGCCCTTTGTAGGACGAACCGAAAAGGCTCCCTGAACCATTTCTCCCTATGACAACCCACTAGGAAATAAATAGCTGGATTGAGGCTACTGTTTATCGAGGCAAGCAAGTAGAATATATTTGGGAACTTCTTGTTGCCTGTAAGCCAATGTTCTATGCTGAGGGGAGTGCCAAAAATGATGAAGAAGAAAATGGTGAGTAATATTGTCCTACCAAGATGTCCTAGTTGTCGTTGTGGTGAACAGCACATTAGTTTTGTGAACAGGATTAGGCTGGATAGAACCATAATGGGGGCAACGAACAAGATATTTATAATTTGGATCACTTTTTTCATCTTTTGAGAGACTGTTTTTTCCCATATAGCCAAGATGCTCACTCCACTGAGCAAGGCAGCAAAAATCCACAGCACTACAGATACAGCACCAGACACCCACTTAGGACGATGGCAGCGATACCAGAATGGAAATAGAGCAGACAAGCACCTTTCAACACTAATGGCTGTTAGGAAATACATGCCAGTGCTATATAAGAAGAGTTCCACTTTGTACACTACGAGCAACATCTCAGAGGATGGGAAACAATACCAGTTGCTGAAATATTCAACAGAAAAAACTAAGGTAACAAAGAAGCAACAGAGGAGGTAGGCGAAATCAGCTAGTGCCAAGCTGAGGATGTATATCATGATGGGCTTCTTTCTGACATAGTATCTGAGGCACCAAAGGACAATTCCATTTCCCATCAGACCAAAGATGCAGACGAACTGATTGATGATGTATATTATTTCATCCTCCAACTTGTGCTGGCGTCTACATACCACAGTGTTATTGGGTGTCCAGGAATCATTTCTTAATTGAGGCAACAAATCAGGGTCCATCATTGTCATAATATAGCCTTTGTTAGGAAGGTAGGGCAACTTGAAGCTGTCTCATTCATAGGGTCCTCATAAATCAAAGTCGACAGGAGTTAACCATAAGCAAATATATTTTTCATCTGCAAACAAAAAGAGGGCAGAAGAAGAAGATCGGTTACTCTGGATGCATTGACTGATGATTTTTGTAGTCAGGTACATGACCCCTTAGCTTCTAATTGTTGAATAAATACACATTGTGATTTCTCTTGATTCTTCCAGGGCCTCCTTAAGGCCACCTGACTTACCAACAATATGGGGAGGGCAGGGGGAGGAAAAAGGAGGGGAGACAATGGACTTTTTAAATGGATACCACCAGCAGATAGAAGAGAGATTCCAATGAGAATCTAACTGGATCTCTAAGAGCAATTCGAATTTGATGGTACATTTATCAGGGTGCATATACATTCCAAGGAGAAAAAAGGTGAGGAGATAACAAATAAACTAAAGTCTTTACACAGATTCCACTGCATGCTACAATCGTACCCTGTAGAATCCTGGAATCTCTAGTTTATTTAAGAACTAGTGGGGATTTTGCCCCATAAACTGCCAATCCCTGAGTGAAAAAGGAGAGTGGGGGGAAAGCTAGAATCTAGGACAAGAGTTGAAGAAGAAAGAAAATAGAAGTCCAATATCTGTACAGGAAAGAAAGGTGTGTATGTTTGAGTGGTGCACTTAATTTAGATGATATTCAAGGAAATGATTTGTCTTCTGTGAAATAGTTTTTATGTTCAAATAAAAGGTTCAAAAGAATGGCTTCATGTTTTGAAGTCCATATTCCGTCCTTACTTTCTGTTGGGCAAGGTAGCCTTACCATTGTATGAACTGTGAAACAATGTTTTCCTGGAATAGTCCACCTTGGGATTGCTTGTATCCCAGAAATGGCTGCAATGGTGTGATAGGTCCAGCCCTGCCCATGTCAGCTGTTCTAAGGGGGTCCTATGTCAAAATCCTTGTGATCCTTCATGGGCCCACAAAAATTGGGAACCCCATACCTAATAATATAATTAATGTCTATTATGTTTTAAAAGCATATAGCATACAACTCCCAACACCTTGTAAGTTTTCTCCATCTTCTGAGAACACGTGATTTTATAAAAGTTGATTATTTAATACTTGTTATATAAAGTATGTATCATTTCTGGAAGAATATCATAATATTCATATCCACATCTGCTGACAGGAAGACAGGAAAAATAGGATGAGACAACTTTCAGAATATTCTACATATAGCTTTTCATTGCGTTTAAATATTTTCTTTAATGTTATTGGTGTTTGCATTGGTTAATGAAATTGCCAAGAGTGTTCCCTATGGATGGAGAGGATAGTGTCCGTTGTACTTGAATCCAATATCTTTAAAAATGAGTAATAAATTATTAATATACAGACTTTTTTATGCCAGACATGTATATTTGCTTTATTTTCATCTGAGAAGGGGAACTGTACTGACAAATATTGGCAACACCAGACTGATTAAAAAGATCAGAAAGTCCCAGATCTTGCTCCTGTTCTTTCCCATTTTATTTTGGACTTCAACGTGTGTTTGTTTATTCCAGAATATTTTCTGTCAACCCCTAGTACGGTCAGATACTTTTTATACTCATTTTCATCCAATATGAAATCACCAAGAATAAGAACAAAACCTGGGCTTTTTCAATCAGCCTGGATGCTCCTCGCAAAGAGAGTTTCAAATAAACATGCTCCTAGACTTTCCTATCGATAATAAAATTCTTCCCATAATAAAATTCTCCCCATATAGTCATCTTTTTAACATGTCATCATTTGTTATGTCTTGTCTATACTAGGAAAGGCAATGTGTAAAAACTATACAAATCTTTTATCTCCTATTACACAAGTCATGACTCTATCTTATCATTTATCATCTGAACTTATCCGGCTGTTACCACATCCTCTTCTCAAAAGTAATCTTATTCCACTGGAGAAGACACAAATTGTAATTTCTCTTCTTAGATGCTGTCCAAATTAAGATTATGATTTCCAGATTGTCCTAACCAGTCTGGTCAGTAGCTACAATGGACAAAGATTCTGGAAGTTGAAGTATAAAGGACTTATCTTTCCAAGCTTTGCCTATTTTTTGTCCATTTCTACCTTCCCAGTATTTTACTTTAGAAGGGCATGTCCTCCCCAAGAAAGGTTCAGGTTGTTTTTGGCATGCAAGGGAAAGGCTGCTCTGCGTGAATTGCACAGAACCTAAGGAAGGAAAGGGGAAGATAAGGGATCTCTAAAGCTTGTCAGCTAGTGTATTTATTTCTAAACTCCGGAAACTTTATTGGAAATTATGCCACAGAAACAGCAATAAGCACAGATGACTGAGAGCTGTTTAATATGAACAATTTGTTCCAGAATATGTGATGGCCAAGGTCTTGCAGACGAATATCAGGGCTCCAAAAGCTCAGTTTGACTGCGGTATACCACAAAAAGTATTCCTAGGAAAGGAATGCTTAGGTGAAGGGGTTTTGCAGCTCATTTTCTTTCTAAAACAAAATGGGCATAGTGTGAACAAAACTATGCCACTGTCAGGAATTGTTTTTGTAGCCAAAACATTAAGTGAATTTAAGTTAATTTACTCTCTTTGCCTCCAAGAACAGCAATTCACTCTTTAAATTAATTCCAGTCCTTTTTAGAGGTATTTAGGGGTAATACACAGTACTTGGGTCTTAATTTTGAGCATTTTCACATGTTTGGAGGGCTTTCTGCATGGATGCTACTAGCAGATAGAATATTGCTCCAAAATTGCTCTTTTTTAAAAAAATAGGAAGTTGGTCCACTTTGGGGAAATGTTGGAAGGCTTGCTTCAAAGGTCATGACAATGAGGTCCAGGGACTACAAATAGTCTGTAACCTGTAGTATACTCATGCCTGCACCAGTGTGAGCAGTGCCCCATCTTTCTAAACATTGGAACACCCTAGGAAATGACAACTTATATAGGTCATTGCACTTTTCATGCAATTATCAAAGCTGGAAGTCCATTTCTGGCTAATTCTGGTTCTCTTCCAACCAAATATTGGCACTCCATGTGGCTGATCCTGGATGGTTGTTCACTTAACACAAGGGCAAATATGTTTTGCTCGTGATCCAAGAGGGAACAACTCTATAGACGACCACATATTCCTGAGCCTTTCGGTGTCTTTAAAATGTCCTGAGAGCCTGACTGTGGCCAGATCAGACTTAAACATTTGATGAAAATCTTTAATTCTATGGCAGCAATATATAGTGAGATGTTCAGGACAAATTATTATTGTTATGGTTAATAATAATAATAATAATTATTATTATTATTATTATTATTATTATTATTATTGTACCTCACCTCCATCTCTCCGAAGGGACTCAGGGTGGCTTACATGGGGACGAGCCCAATCAACATTGTTAAAATATAGTGCATTAAAAATATATAAACAACAACAAAACAGAATAAATCATTATAACAAAATATAAAAACAAACCATCAACCAATAACCAATGAGCTCTGCGATAATGATCAGTTTCTGGGCATTATCGCAGTGGGTGGACTGGTGCGAAAACAACTGTGAGGATAGGGCTGATGGATAAAGTGTGTATGTAATATGGCAGCAGTAGAGATAACCTACGGATGAGAGAGCTGGACCACCGGGGCTCCCAGTTTACAGCACCATTCTGGAAGAGCTTGCTGCAGCAGCTTGACACTGAACCTCACCTGTCCTCAGCATACCACCCACAGTCGAAAGGCCAGACTGAGCGAACCAATGCCACCCTTGAGCAGTACCTCCGCTGTTACAGCAATTACCAACAGGATAATTGGGTAGCCCTACTTTCATTGGCAGAGTTCGCTTACAATAACTCTCTCCATGCCTCCATCCAGCAGATGCCCTTCTTCGCCAACCTGGGCTACCACCCTCAGACATTCCCAGCAGCGGGCTCTTCCTTGACAATGCCTGCTGTTGACCAGTGACTATAGGAGCTGACAGGAGTGCAAGCTCTCCTTCAAGAGCAGCTGGATAAAGCTAAGCATGATTATAAGACCACATCGGATGCCAAGAGACAACCAGAGCCAGATTTGAAGGTGGGAGATCGGGTGTGGCTTTCCACACGACACTTAGCTCAATGTCACCCCTGTCACCAATGAATCTAGCTGGCAGCTAGATTCATTGCCCCCCTACACTATTTTGGCATGTATCAACCTTGTGGCTTACCAGTTGGACTTACCCCATAGCCTGCCAGTACACCCAGTGTTTCATTGGTCCTTCCTGGTACCAGCTCATCATGTCCGGCCGGACACAAGGATGGTGACTCTGCCTCCGCCAGTCCTCGTGAAGGGTGAAGAGGAGTTTGTTGTGGTACAGATTTGGACTCCCACATTCATAGGCGCCGCCTGCAGTACTTGGTGGACTGGAGTAAAGAATTTTTCTGTTTTTGTTTTTGAAGGGTAACTCAGGACAATTAGGTAGAAAAAAACTGATGTATCTAAGGAGAGAATTCTTTGAATATAGTAATAGAAATGGAGGAGGGGAGGTGTTCCACTAGCCGAGGGGCCCCCATAGAGGTCGTGGTGGGGAAGGGGAGATGCGGAAAAAGGAGACCTCAAATTCGGCCTAATTTGGACCGCTTATCTACATTAATAACCCCAAATCGGTCTCCTAAGGTAAATTGGTGTAACCAGGTGAGCGGGCCCTCTGGATTGAAGGTGGTGCTGTTGAACGCCAGATCTGTCAATGGAAAAACGACCTTTATCCAGGATTTAATCCTGGATGAGCGGGCAGATCTGGCGTGCATCACGGAGACCTGGCTGGATGAAGCTGGAGGTGTAAATCTTACCCAGCTTTGTCCTCCAGGTTTCTCCGTACAGCACCAACCGAGATCCGGAGGACGGGGAGGCGGGGTTGCAGTGGTCTATAGAGATTCCATCCATCTGACCAGGAGTCCCATCCCGCAGACCACAAATTTTGAATGTGTCCACCTGAGGGTGGGTGACCGGGACAGAATAGGGATTCTGCTAGTGTACCGTCCACCTCGCTGCACTACAGTCTCCCTACCTGAGCTAGCGGGGGTGGTCTCGAGCCTGGCGTTGGAG